ACAATGCACATAAACATCATGAGGCGAAGTCTAGCTTGCGTTACTCAACTTAACCTCAACATAAATATAAACTTAAAATAATCAAAAGGTATCCATCATTTTCAATATAAAAAAATACGAAATTTAATATACAATTAATTTATGATTAAAAAATGTTAACCCTATATTTAATCTAAACTGAAATCAATTTAAGTCCTAAAATCCATTATTTCTAAAATGCAAAAACAAGAAAAATGTATGGAACTTAAAATACAATTAAATAAGGAAAAATGTTTGAAATTAATATTATATTAACGTTAGCACTGTATTCATTGCTCAACTAATAGCAACATTTTATAATTTTGTTTTAAAAATGTCAGAAAACGTGTCCTAATTTCCCTAGGTAGACTGTTATATATTGAAACGGCGTTATATGTGAAAGATCTTTTGAAAAATGATAATCGTTAATTCGGAATCGTTAAGTTGTGTGGATATCTCAAATGTAAAATGTGCAGATCTTTCCGATATTTCAATTTATTTTTTAAGTATATGGGAGTTGAGGTTGAAAGAATTCGAAATATTTTCTTCCTTCGATCAGGAATATAGTATTTAAATACATTTTGTACATTTCTACGAAAAAAACATTTACGTACCTATATTAAATTTCTTATTACCCCATTTTATGGCCGCCCCTGTGCTTGCAAAAACATTAAATAGTTGTCGAGAAAGTGGCGCACTATTAACAGTATTTTTGCATGAAAAATCGCCATCAAAGTAAATTCAAATCGACTCAGCAGTAATCCCGAAGCTAACTCGCAAATTTCCAATCTAGTCGAGGAGGATTTTATATTTGCCAAAAGAGAGTTAAAAAGTTCCCGTACCTGCAAGATCAAACAAATCCCACTCCGGTAATACGAAATGAGCAGGGGCGGTCTTCAAAAGGTAAAGGATGAAGTAGCGTTTATTTTTTTTTTCTTTTAGAGAGATATTTGGCAAATAAAAAAAAATAAAAAATTAAAAAAAAACAAATAAAAAAACAAAAAAACAAATAAATAAACAAAAATAGAAGTAGAAAAGTATAAAAAACAATAAACAAACAAATAAAAAAAGAAAAATAAAAAAAAAGAAAACACAAATACAAAAACAAATATAAAACAAATAGAAAACAATAAAAAAAACAAATAAAAAAAATAAAAACAAATCAAAAACAAATAAAAAATAAATAAAAAACAAATAAAAATAAATAAAAAAACAAATAAAAAACAAATAAAAAAATTAAAAAAATAAAAAACAAATAAAAACGTTAAGTGATAAGCATTAAAGCACCACTTAAAGCAGACGGGTCTAGAGATGGATGAAATCTGTTATAAATTATCTTTAGTGTTTAACAAACTTAAATAGTTGATAAAGTCAAGATTACCGTTTAATAATTGTTACTAACATAATTTTCATTGTCATTTTATAAATAAAAAAAAACAAATAAAAACAAACAAATAGAAAACAAACAAATTAAAAAAACAAATGGGAAAACAAAAAAAAACAAATAAAAACAAATAAAAACAAATAAAAAACAATTAAAAAACAATTAAAAACAATTAAAAAACAAATGGAAAAATAATTAAAGAAACAAATAAAAAAACAAAAAATAAATAAACATTTAAAAAAACAAATAAAAAAACAAATATAAACGTTAAGCACCAACTAAAGCAGACGGATCTAGAGATAGACGAAATCTGTTACAAATTATCTTTACTGTTTAACAAACTGAAACACTTGGTGAAGTCAAGATTATCGTTTAATAAATGTTACTGACATAGTTTTGATTGCTATTTTATAAATAAAAAACAAATTAAAAGAAATAAAAACAAATAAAAAACAAAAAAAAATATGAAAGCAAATTAAAAAAACATTTAAAAAAACAAATAAAAAAATATTAATCGATAAGCATTAAAGCACCAACTAAAGAGATGGACGAAATCCTGTTATAAATTATCTTTATTGTTTAACAAACAAAAGATTACCGTTTAATAAATGTTACTGACAAAATTTTGATTGCCATTTTATGAATAAAAAACAAATAAAGAAAACAAATTAAAAACAAATAGAAAAATAAAAAACAAATAAGACAAATAAAAAACAAATAAGACAAATAAAAAACAAAAAACAAAAATAACAATTGAAAAAACAAATATAAAATAAAAAACAAATAAACAACAAATAAATAACAAATAAAAACAAATAAAAACAAATAAAAACGTTAACTGATAATCACCAACTAAAGCAGACGGGTCTAGAGATGGACGAAATCTGTGATAAATTATCTTTACTGTTTAACAAACTTAAACACTTGTTAAAATCAAGATTACCGTTTAATAAATGTTACTAACATAGTTTTCATTGCCATTTTATAAATAAAAAAAATAGAAAACAAATTAAAAAACATAAAAAACAAATAAAAAATAAAAAAACAAATAAACAACAAAAAAACAAATAAAGAAACAAATAAAGAAACAAATAAAGAAACAAATAAAGAAACAAATAAAGAAACAAATAAAGAAACAAATAAAGAAACAAATAAAGAAACAAATAAAGAAACAAATAAAGAAACAAATAAAGAAACAAATAAAGAAACAAATAAAGAAACAAATAAAGAAACAAATAAAGAAACAAATAAAGAAACAAATAAAGAAACAAATAAAGAAACAAATAAAGAAACAAATAAAAAAATTAAAAAAACACAAAAACAAATAAAAAACAAAAACGTTAACTGATGAGCACTAAAGCACCGACTGAAGCAGACAGGTCTAGAGATGGACGAAATCTGTTATAAATTATCTTTACACTATAACAAACTTAAATACTTGGTAAAGATGGATCAAAGGTCACGCCACATCGAAAGGTAACCGTCTTGCTGATTCACTAACCAAGAAAGCAGCCAACCAATTACTTTTTGGACCTGGCTATTCTATTGGCCTGACAAAATCGGTAGTGACATACCTAATTAAAGAACCTTCCCTTGTGAAATTCAAGGAAAGATGGGATGAAACAAGAAGCTGCAGAGTTGCCAGGGAGCTCTAAAGTTATCCTGACAACACTGTAGCAAACAAATACTTGACTATGACCAGATAGAATTTGCGTCTAGTAACAGGCATTCTGACTGGTCATTGCCAAGTACTGAAGCATCTCCATATCATGGGGTTGTCAGAATCCGCACTCTGCAGAGGGTGCGAACAAGAAGATGAGAGCATCGAGCATATCCTTTACCATTGCTTGACGCTCTCATTTATTAAAAGTATTGTGTTCGGCGAGTATCGGCTAACACCGGCCGATATAAGAGAAGCTCCTCTTGGCGACGTTGTCAACTACATTAAATCGGTAGGCTGGCTCACGAGCTAGGAGGTGTGTATAATCTTAGGAGGATGCACAATGGGCCTAATGGGGCCTAAGGGCCACCTTCCACACGTTACAGATACTTGGTAAAGTCAAGATTACCGTTTATTAAATGTTACTGACAGTTTTGATTGCCATTTTATATTAAAAAAAAAACAAATTAAAAGAACGAATAGAAAAAACAAATAAACAAAATAAATAAAACAAAAAAAAATAAAAACAAATGAAAAAACAAAAACAAATTAAGAAACAAATTAAGAAACAAACCAGAAACAAACAAGAAACAAATAAACAAGAAACAAATAAACAGAAAATCAAATAAAAAGCAAATAAAAAACAAATAAAAACATAAAAAACAAATAAAAAACAAATAAAAAAACAAATAGAAAAATAAATAAAAACGTTAACTGATGAGCATTAAAGCATCAAATAAAGCAAACGGGTCTAGAGATAGACGAAATCTGAAAGCTTAAACACATGGTAAAGTCAAGATTACCGTTTATTAAATGTTACTGACAGTTTTGATTGCCATTTTATAAATAAAAAAAAAAACAAATAAAAAACAAATTAAAAACAAATTAAAAGAACGAATAGAAAAAATAAATAAATAAAATAAAATAAACAAATAAAAAAATAAAAAACAAATAAAAAATAAATAATAAAAACAAATAAAAAAACAAAAAAAAACAAATTAAGAAACAAAAAAACAGAAAAGCAAAAAAAAGACAAATAAAAATAAATAAAAAACAAATAAAAAAACAAAATAGAAAAAAATTAAAAGAAATAAAAAAAATAAAAATAAATAAAGAATTCATTAAAAAATGTATTTTTGGCAACACTATTATATATAATTTGATATATTCTAAATAATTTAAAATATACAGGGTGATCTATCTAAAAAATTAAACTTAGTGATATTACCGTTAAACCGTAAGTGGAATATTTTGTTTAGGTATAAGTGTCGATAATGTTTGTTCCAAATTTTCATCAAATCTCTTAGTAAATGAAAGAAATATTAACTTAACAAGGCCCTAGTATAATTATCACCCGGTATATAATACAGTTTTTGTGTTTTTATTTTTATTATTATTATTCTTTTGGAACTTTTTATTTTCAAAAATATTCCAGGGTTGAATACAGTATTACTAGGCTATTCAAAAAACTAAAATTAAATGTTCTATTTAATTTTCCAGGCTAAAAAGTATCACTGTGTGCGGTACTGCAACCTTTGGACAACAGTCCATTAAAGCATCGAGAGATACGACCTCGTAACTTGTGTTACAGCTGCGATTTTTTTCATTCATTCACTACCTGAATGATTGAATACACACATGAACCGACCGTTGTCGGCATATTATTTTTTATACAATGTACCTACTACAATTTTTATAATTAAAATATTTAACAAAGCTTAAGATTCTTTCAAACAAACACGAAACCCTCATATACTGTGTATATCCAAAAACATTTTTAAAGTATATCTTTTACAAATTCATATAACTTTTATTTGAAACGAAACTTTTCTACGTGTCTGAGACACAAATTGAAATATCGAGCAATCGCGCTTAATGGGACAACCGGTTTAAAACTTTTTGTTAAAATTCTTCAAATTTAGACTACTTTATCCTCACCAGCACATATCAAACAAATCCCTCTCTTGTAATCCATATCGAGAACTTCTTGGATAAATCCTTCTCGAACACGCAAATCCTCGGAAAAAGTTTCTAGGAAAACTTTCAAATTGTCCTTGTTGCCGGAATTGGTAATTACGGAAGCGACGTTGCGTGCCAATTGGACATAAATCTTGCTAATTTTCTCCACGTTTCCCTCTATTTCGGTGGATATGATGCTTGATTGAAAGCCTTTATTTATTGCCTCTTGTTTCGCTGCTTCGGCAGCTATTTTGTTATTGCCTGTAAATAAATTAGATTTAAAAATATGTTTTTATTCGAATGTGCCAAAAAACTTTGTGTGTCGTCGGAAAATATAATCGAGAAGTGAAACTTTTCTATATATGTACTTTAAATGAGCTGTTTCAATAAAGTTTCACGAACCAGAGCACAGGGACTCCGTGTCATATAGAATTCTACCGGTCGCTTCAATAGACCTTTTCATCATGTGATGAGCGCAAGCGCAGCCACCATGTTGAAATAGCGGTAATTCAAAAGTTTCGTACTGTTTTGATCGACAATGGCTGGGAAAGCAATGTTATCTCTACAGAAAAATTAATCATTAGAAAAAATCGTTGATAGTGAATAACTTTTTTATAACTCTGTGGAAGCGCATAGTTGTGAGCAGTTGAAAAGGAGGTTGAAGTGTCTTGGATGTTTGTTACAAAGGAACAAAGTGGACTAATTGAGAGGTTAGGTGTATCAATACTTTTTAACTCTGTAAAAAATTAATGAAAACAAATAATAATTATAACTTTATTCTAATTAATTATGCCAAACAACTATTACTACTTGCAAAAACACTTTAATTAGCATAACAGTTAATCACGAGTATAATTAATAAAATAAATTATTTATTATTTTGAAGATCAACATGACATTTTTAATCATTTAATGTGTATACTGAAGTAGTATTTAATATTAAAAAAATATTGTTCAATACCACATGAGAATTTTCTTCTGCTGGACCACTTTCTCCATGAAAATGCAGTGAAATATAAGTATCTTTAGTAACATCATTAATCCATCGAAAACCGTTGTCACTTCGACCATATTTTTTCACACTTAATACACATTTCGAATATCTTTTAATATGGATTTTGCCTGATAATTGTTTACGATATTGCAGTTAAGGCTTTGGAAAATTTATAAAATAATATCTATTGCCTTTGAATGATTTATACCGTGTGTCACTTTTACATAACAACACTGTTTCGTTGTTCCTTTCCGTACAGATAACATAATTATAATTGATTGTGAAAATGTATTTTTCAATTGAGACACTAAACTTATTATTACTTTACTTTTTTCTTCCTTTTTTTAAATGAATATAGACTTAAATTAATATTTATCAATTATAATTTTTTTCACATAAGCATTTTGACATACTTGTTTACAAAAATAGTACGCACACAAAAAAAATTTGTGATGAAAAGGTCTTTCCTATCGATTGGCACTCTGTGTCTCCAAAAAATCGCCAGGAGTCGACAGTAACTATCGCCACGAAGCGAGACGTCAAGACATATAGTTTTCTACTAAAGTATGCAAACCGTCATACATTTTTGTTTTGATTTTAAAACATTAAGGCATTGGATCTAATTTCAAATGAAAAAAAGTAACAAACGTAAAAAAAAGAATTACGGTAAAGCCATTAGCTTTGTTGTTAAATCAAGTGAATTTTTTATTGTGGTGTGTGCTGTAAACATTATAATAGGTTTATTCTGCCATATTTTTTTACCAGCAAAATCTGCTAGGTCCAAGGTGAATCTTCCTGTTGAAGAGGCACATACATCCACAGCATCAGTATAAAAAAGTTAATATTTTGAAATCCTTAATCCAGGATATTCCTCAATAAAACATATAATTTTACAATATGATACTTGACTGGCCGACAGAGGTCTCCAAACTTACTTAATAATGTCATTGTAAAACTATCTTTAATAAATACATTTTTATTTTTAATCTTTTATTGTAAATAAGTTTGGAAAAGGTCACAAATAAATTAAATGTGCCCTTTTCCAAAAAAAACCAATTCACTTATTTTTCTCTTCATTTGGTCGCAGGATTTCAACATGGGTACAATCTACTGCTCCAATTATCCCGGGAAAATTTCTTGCTTCTATAAAACATAACTAAATTTGTTGTTTTTTCCTGTAGAGTTCTAGGAAACCGAATCCATTCCCCTGAGAAGGTGTTTATAATGGCCGTATTTCCTCTTTAGCTCTCGACGTAATTCCATTTAATATATACTGGGACATATCTTTATTTAATCCAAATAACTCTACAAATCTTACATTTTCTATAGAGAATGGATCGCTTGTCTCTCTCATTACTCGCCTATCTATATTTTCCAAACGAAGATGTTATAGTCGTTCCTCCTTTTCAACAGCTAATATATTGGCCACAAACAAAGGGACCAATTATTACAAATCAAAGCAAAAACTAGATAATACAAACTTAAAATCAAAACCAAATCTCTATATGTCAAGCAAACATTTTTAGATCGGTTAGTAAACCTCCGAGAATGTCCGATGTTTTGACATCCATGAATCGACTATCACACAGAGTACCGGCAAAGCGTTTATAGAATTCTACAGTAGAAATCGATTGTAGAAAACTATATGTCGAAAGCGATGGGACACGGAGTGTCGCTCGCCGAAAAAATCAAGCGACTACGACTTCTAAACATTCTTTCTTATTTTCGGTTTACTATTTAACAATATTACTGTACCAATGATATATTTTATTGTTTTTAAATTTATTTACATATTTTTTAGATGTTAAAAAAGTTGCATCAACCATAAAAGGTTATTAGCAACAGCGGTATATGCTTGGGCATGAGCCAATTGAGCACCAAGCTCTAGATGTAATAAATGTGGACCGGCCAACTGAGCACCAGGCAGGCAGGTATAGTTCTTCCATTATCAATTGCAGATCATAAAAACTCGTTCGGAACCTTTACCGACAATTTTGTTTGATCTGCCATAGGCGTAGATACCTACCTCATTTTATAAATTTATTTTATTAATACTTTTAATATATATCATATGCAAGAAAGTATTCGTTAAAAGGAAATCGAATAATTATATCTTTGTAAATAATCATGGCAGTCTGAATCCTCTGAACTAGAGTCATCATTTGGTTGAATTATGATGGGTTGTAAAGAGGGTAATACTACATACTCATCTTCTTCTTTGATAACATGTTCAACACAGTTTTTCCAAAGCTTTTGGCGGTCTGCTGCTAGAACTTTACGAGTTCTACAACTTCTTTACTCAGTTCTGGAGACTGATTACATTTTCGTAATTCTGATTTTAAGTTTGCCAATATTAACTCTATAGGGTTAAATATGCAATAGTAAGGAGGTAGTCTGAGAAGAGTTTGCACAGCTTGTCAATATAATACATTTTTTCTAACTTTATACTTTTAATGACAGTAAGCAATTCTTTGTTTGTTGGTCCTTTTTTTCTATCACTGGCAGGAATAGGAATATTTTTTTCAGACATAAAAGCTAAAATTTGAGCTTTTTTACTGCTACTATTTGGTATTTTAAGGAGTTGCCGCGACTGGTAGGATGCGTTGTTCATAACGATTACTGACTGTGGTGGAATGTAAGGTAAAAGCTGTTCATTAAACCGTTTTTCAATTCTGCTGTCATATCTTGATAATAATCAGCTGCACAGTTTTTAATTTGTTTAGCAGATAATAATAAAGCATTAGGCACGAAACCGTCTTTGCTTCTAGCGTGTACTATTATAATGCGTTTCCCTTTAGAACATGGCCCATTCAAACTGCAATTTTTACTACTGCCAACCCAACCGAAATTTACTACATCGTGACTGTCAAACCATGTTTCATCTAGATAAATGATGTGTCTATTAGAACTTCTGTAGCCTTTTATCTGACGCAGATAATTTTGTCGCCATTGAACTATCCTTGACGATTCGGTGATTGCCATCTGTTTATTCAATTTTTTGTGTTTAAAACCACATGCTGACAAAACTTGACGCAATGTTTCCAAACTGGTATAAGTGTATCCTGGAAAATCTGCCTCCTTTTGCTGTATTACTTCCAATGTCGGAACCCTGTTCTCCTTATATAAACTATAAATTGTCCTTCGTATAAAATCTTGGGTAGCTCTGTCAACTGATTTCAGTTTTTCTTTACATGTTTTTCGGTTTTATGAACAATCCACAGCAACCCCTTTCGTGACTACCGGATAAACGGAAAATTTATTTACTTTAGTTAATTCAGCAATTGTTATTATGAACGCATTATCAGACTACTGAATATTTTCCTTTTTTAAACATTCGAATATATTTAAAATAACATTGTGTTTGTATATCTAAATCCTTATCGTTAAAGTCATACCTGTCTTTAATCTCACTACACTGTGCAATTTCATTTTCTTCATTCGCCCATGGTCTAAAGAACGCTATATTTATTAAAAGAAATTTAAATTAAACCAACCACACATACAAAACACACCGCACGACAGTACTCCACTGATATCGCAGACTGTCTTCCAGGAATATTTTCGAACACCTGCCTTCCGTAAACCTTCGGCCAATACAGTGCATTTAAGTTTACGATTCGATGTTTTCATTGGTAAACAACTGATGGTTCGTTTAATATTTGCCGCTTTGTATAAGGGGAGTAAACATTATTTTTCGTTTCTTAATTTAGCATGAGTACCGTGCGTATATATTAAATATTGATGATTCCCCACATAACTGTGTTCTGCAATTGATAATGGAAAGACTATACCTATTCAAAGCGACCCTTTTGAGACAGGCCAATTCAGCACTTTGACCTGGAACCACTTTGTAATAATAATCCCTTAATATTCTAATTTAAAGAAACTCATTAAAAGCTTAAAACCAATTTTTATTGGGAAAACCCTAGATACTTTAATCCCTTTTTATTACGTATTGAAGTATATTATTATAAATGGAATACGCACTCAACAATAGGTTAAGAAAAAATGATGAGATCAGTTTCAGCTACAAAGTCGTTATCAAAGTTAATAATCTACTCATGAAAATACTTTAAAAAAATAACAAATAATGTTTAAAAACAGAAATAAGTAAAAAAAAATTAAAATTGCCCATATAAAACTAAATTTTTGTGAGTAATGTTTCTTCATTTTATATTGGTAGGTAACAAAAATAATTGGCGGGCAAACGGAATGTTATTATTCTGTTGAATACAAATTTTTGCATAATTTTTGCAATATTGTGGTA